CATCGAGAGATCACAACCTAACGCCAACTCGCAGGTTGGGTTGGTTCGCCCAGGTTCCTTTTAGATCAAAATGCTATCTAAAAAAAGGAACTTGGCTGACTTAACCCAACCTAAGAGCTTTTTGTAAAATTTCGATGAACAATCCGACCCTTTATATAAAGGTGAGTGGGTAACGTAAGTTACGTAACCCCCATGCTGTCTCTTATACACATCTAGATGTGTATAAGAGACAGACCCCCATGTTAGTAAGTCGCGAAAAAAATCGGTTTTCCGATGCCGACCGCCAAAAATGGATTTCAGATTCGTAATCTACACCCCAAAAAACATATAATTAAAAAAAAAACACCCTTTTTTTTGGATGTAGTTAATCTGCAATAATACCTCAAATTTTGAGTAAATGAGGAAATTAATAATGAACTGATTCTAAAAAACCTCTGGTTTGCCACTATGTGTGGAACCATGAATCTTCATGTCATGAAAGGTTGAAAATGGTAAAACCTTCCCTCAAAGGCTCAAACTTGAAGGAGACTTCATTAAATTCATTTTAATGGCATAAATCATTAAATGGCTGTTACATGACATAAATGAATCAAGTAATACCTTCAGTCATCTTAGGCTATAAAGTAGGTTTTGCAGTCTTGGGCTCTTAACCAAACTTGAAAAATACAATGGTACTACTACTAGCCTACGTACTACGGTACTAGGGATGAAGTAGGTAGGTACCTAAGATAATTCAAAGTTGAAAAATTTAAACTATTTTTGTGCACTCCAATGACTCCATCCTACTGCTACTGCATCATGGTATTCATGGCCATGCATGCAATGAACATAGCTATCTTGATATGAAAAGAGGTGAATTTTTCTTGCACTATGTGGTAAAAAGAAACTAGGCTAGTACATTCATTATTTTTTTCATATGACAATCCTCACCTGTACATACAGCAATTCATGGAATATAATATATATATTCAGCTAAAAATGAATCAAGAATGTCTCTGAAAGTAAGGTTTCACTTGAAATTTCATACATTAGGCACCTGTACCTAAAATAAACACTTGAAGAGTTTCCCCACTGACTTAATTTTGGCAATATGATATTCCATAAATAGATCAGTGATCACTTCCATAAATTAGACTGATCTATCAATCAAAAGCTGAAATGCCTAATAGATACAGAAATGTATTTATCATTTTATGACACATTTTCAGATTTTCCCAGTTGAAGAGCTGGTGCTGGACTAGGTCACTAGTACCTACTCATTAGGAGGGTTTTTGCTCTAAAATGTACTGATTTGATAGGTAGCCTAACAAAATAATGTAACATTACAAGAGACTGATAACTATGCTTTACTTATGAATTATGATATCATCACTCAATGCAACATGTACATCACAAATACAAAGAAAACTGTCTGCCCATCTGCCAGGGTAAAGAATTGAAAAATTTGTCTCTATGGATATATTTCTCAAGTGATAATATTGTAGCACTTTTAAGCTTCAAATGATACATTGTCCTAGCAGTAAATTTCGAAATTTTTTATACTAAATTTTTCCAAACAATATTTTGTAGACCAATTCCGATTCCAAGATGATTGACTATGACTTTCTATCTAGCTTGTTACCCTAAATTATTTTAAACTTTTCTTTTTGGTCGACAGACAGGTTCAAAATTGTCTACTAATTTTACAATACAGGTTTCGTTGAAGACCAGAGAGTATTTCTTATTGACAATTTTCTTATTCCTGCCACAAAGAAGGTTGTAGACTTCTCCAGAACGTAAATTACATTGGTTTGACCAGCACGACTTTGAGCCGCCGCCTAACATGCCACCTCCAGAACGGAGGACCAAAGAACCACATGAGAGAGGCTCATAATGAGACCCTCATTCGCGCGACGTTGGAGACCCACACCAGAATCATCATGAGATGCCCAGACGCCACAAGACTGACGATAGCTGAGGCTCTCATCATCAAGCAGGAGTCTCCAGCTATTAATTTACAAACTACCGGATTTGTCAGGACGTTAAAATTGTTCTCGTAATTCAATCTTTGATTCCAATCTGTATCCATAATACCCTATGTTTGTACTATTGTCATTTCAAAATTTCAAATTCACTTGTTGCAAAACTCGTCCTCTACTTGATAATGAATGAAGTTGCATTCAAAACGTCGTAAAATTATAATAAAATGTCCCTTGG